TGGAAGAGTATGCTGCTTATCCCAGCGCAGCTGCGAACGAAGGCGACGGCGTCACCAGGGCGCTGGGCGACGAACGAGACATGGCGGAGGGCCGAGGGGGCCGACCAAGAGTCCGACATGGTACAGCTGGCAGATATGAGGTCACAGGCGCAGTGATTCGGGCTGTGCCACTCGCCCCTCGCCCCGCTGCCATGTGCAGACGGCTTCTCTTTTGCGTTGCCAGCTAGGCCCGTTGCCAAGCGCGGACGGCCAAAGCCGAGGCGCAAACCGCGAGGGTGCCATTTGTAGCACTGGCCTTTCTGCACGCCATGTGCCTACGGCTTTGTTTGCGTTACCAGCTGGGCCCGATGCGAAGTGCGGACGGTTAAAACTGAGGAGCTTATCGCGAGGTGCCGTTTGAAGCGCTTATCCTTCGTACTCTTCCCTGGTACTTCGGACGCGGTACCCCTGACATTCTTTGTTTTGGCAGCACATGCGACAACATATGCATGTGCGTGAGTGTGTACATGTGTTGAATGTACAGCCGAACTGCGCGTGCGTGTGCTCATCGCTCACATGGACGCGCTCCTAGATCAATACTTTCACGGACAGAGGCTCACCATGACACTATCCTAAAAAGTGATATGCGCATATAGTTCACATAGCTAGACGCCCACATACAGATCCCGAATGTAGGCTATTGAACAAAACATGCCCACAGCTCCACGCAATGAGTAATGCTTATAGTGATTTTTCTTGTTCGACTTCAGGCCTGCCTCCGCGTGGGAGTTCGCCGCAAGACTCGGCAGGCGCAGCAAAGATGGCGGGGAGGTCGTCCAGAACAGGGCCTTTCTTTGCCCTCGCAGGGCAGGCACGTGGAGCCGGGTGCTCGACCACCCAAACATATGCAGTATGGGGCCATTCCAAAAAGAAACCTTCCACAAGGAACCCAACCCTGAGACGCCAGGACGTCCATTGATTTGCGGCGTGGGCACGTCAGGTGTTCGACCGCAAAACCATCGAAGCCCAAGAAACCCAACGCAAACTGGAGGTGAGCACGGTGTTTCTTGGCATGGGCTTCCCCTGTAGGCCTGGATCAACACAACCGTGGGGGTCTCAAAACCGTGTGGTGGCGGGCTGCGTGGTGACCTCGAAGTCCCAAGAGACGTCCCCGCGCGGTGCGTCACGAAGAAGTTCCTGGAATACCGCTGTGGGAACGATTCTGGGCGATTTGGTCCGACGGAGGGGCCATCAGGACGCACCAAGCCCAATCAGGCCAAGAATTACAGGCGCCGGATCGAGCGGGGCATGACGGTGTTCGACCGCGGACTTCGGGCCAGCGCCAATGCTGCTTTGAACCTCCCAGGAATGGCGACATACCGTGCGAGACGACGATATATCCATACCCACCGCCTGTGGACATGGCCATATCTGGGCACCAGGGAACCCGACTATGTGTATATGTGTGTATACGTACATGTATACCTGCACGCATACATATACATGTGTATATATATATATATACATACATACATGCATGCATGCATACATATCAGAACGAGGGGGCTGAACCGAACGGTCATTCACTGTCCTTGGGTGCGTGGCTGAAATGGAATTCTGCGATGTGGATTATTTTTGTTGCTGTTTGTTGTTTGTTGTTTGTTGTTGTCGTCGTTCCACCCGCGACCCGCCCCGCGACCCACCCGCGACCAACCCCGCGACCAACCCGCGACCCACCCTGCGACCCACCCGCGACCCACCCCGCGACCCATCCGCGACCCACCCGCGACCCACCCCGCGACCCGCCCGCGACCCACCCCAAGACCCCCCGGCGACCCACCCGCGACCCAACGGCGACCCACCCGCGACCCATCTGCGACCCACCCCGCGACCCATCCGCGACCCACCCGCGACCCACCCGCGACGCACCGCGACCCACCCGCGACCCACCCGCGAGCCACCCCGCGACCCACCCAAAACTCTCGGCGCCTGCATCAGGTTTTTGTTGCATTCGTTCCAGGTGAAGAACCTGCGACCCACTCGCGACCCAAAGTACGTTCACTGAGCAAACCAAAACTTCGGCGTTTGCGGCGGGTTTCTTTTGCAGGCGTTCCAGGTGGAGAACCTGCAGCCCAAACCGCAGTCACTGTACAAATCAAAATGTTCGGCACCTGCGGCGGGCCGTTTTTGAACTCCTTCTTTCCAAGTGGAGGTGGAGAGCCCGCGACCCACCCGCGACCCAAACTACGTTCACTGAACAAGCCAGAACTTCGGCGCCTGCGGCAGGGTTTTGTTGCCGTCGTTCCAGGTGGACAAACTGCGACCCACCCGCGACCCAAACTACGTTCACTGACTAAGCCAAAACTTCGGCGCCTGCGGCGGATTTCTGTTGCATGCGTTCCAGGTGGAGAACCTGCAGCCCAAGCCGCATTCAGTGTACAAATCAAAATGTTCGGCGCCTGCGGCGGGCTGTTTTTGAATTCCTTCCAAGTGGAGGTGGAGAGCCCGCCACCAACCCGCGACCCAAACTACGTTCACTGAACAAGCCAAAACGTCGGCGCCTGCGGCGGGCTGTTTTTGCATTCGTTCCGGGTGGCCCACCAGCGATCCCCCCCGCGCTGAACTTGTCAGAGCACGCAAATCGGGTCCTGCGGCGGGCTTGCTCGCACTAGTTTGGGAAAGCGCCCGCGTGCCATTCCCCTGATCCGGCCCACGCTGACTGTACAACAGCACATCGGCGCCTGCGGCGGGGTTGTGTCCGAACACGTCCATTTACAATACAGTTGCCTGCTGCCGCGGTGGAGGGGAGGAGGAGCAGGGCGAGGAGCAGGAGGACGACGACGACGACGATCACAACGACGACGAATACGAGGACGAAGGAGAGGCCGACGACGAGGGCGAGGAGGAAAAGGAGGGGGGGACGGATGGGGGACGACGAGAAAGGAGGGAGGAGGACGGGGAGGAGGAGGACGACGACGACGAAACGGAGGAGGGGGGAGGATCGGGATGGGGGAGGAGGAGGAAAAAAAGGAGGAGGAGGAGGAAGAGGAGGAGGAGGAGGAGGAGGAAAAGGAGGAATAGGAGGAGGAGGAGGAGGAGGAGGAGGAGGAGGAGGAGGAGGAGGAGGAGGAGGAGGAGGAGGAGGAGGAGGAGGAGGAGGCGGACGACGACGACGACGACGACGACGACGATGAGGACGAAGACTCGGAAGAAGAAAAGGAAGAGGAGGAGCAGCAAGAACAGGAGGAGGGCGCCATCGACAAGGAAAGTGAGGGCCACGAGGTCCGCCGGCTCGACGCCCGCGTCGCCCGCGGCCGCCCCCTCACTCTTATCCGTAATTGCGGGGTGCTACGTATGTGTATATCTATATGCCAGAGTGAGGGGGTTGAACCGAACGGTCATTCCCTGTCCTTGGGTGCGTGGCTGAAATGGAATTCCGCGATGTGGATTATTTTTGTTGTTGTGTGTTCTTTGTTGTTTGTTGTTGTCGTCGTCCCACCCGCGACCCACCCCACGACCCACCCGCGACCCACCCGCGACCCACCCCGCGACCCACCCGCGACCCATCCCGCGACCCACCCGCGACCCACCCGCGACCCACCCGCGACCAACCCCGCGACACGCCCGCGACCCACCCCAAGACCCCCTCGGCGACCCACACGCGACCCACCAGCGACCCACCCGCGACCCACTAGCGACCCACCCCGCGACCCACCCGCGACCCACCCGCGACCCACCCCAAGACCCACCGCGACCCACCCGCGACCCACCCGCGACCCACCCCACGACCCACCCGAAATTTTGGGCGCCTGCAGCAGGTTTTTGTTGCCGTCGTTCCAGGTGGACAAACTGCGACCCACCCGCGACCCAAACTACGTTCACTGAGCAAGCCAAAACTTCGGCGCCTGCGGCGGATTTCTTTTGCATGCGTTCCAGGTGGAGAACCTGCAGCCCAAGCCGCATTCAGTGTACAAATCAAAATGTTCGGCGCCTGCGGCGGGCTGTTTTTGAATTCCTTCCAAGTGGAGGTGGAGAGCCCGCCACCAACCCGCGACCCAAACTACGGTCACTGAACAAGCCAAAACGTAGGCGCATGCGGCGGGCTGTTTTTGCATTCGTTCCGGGTGGCCCACCAGCGATCCCCCTCGCGCTGAACTTGTCAGAGCACGCAAATCGGCGCCTGCGGCGGGCTTGCTACCATTAGTTTGGGAGATCGCCCTCGTGCCGTTCCCCCGATCCGGCCCACGCTGACTCTACAACAGCACATCGGCGTCTGCGGCGGGGCTGTGTCTGAACACGTTCATTTACAATCCAGTTGCCTGCTGCCGCGGAGGAAGGGAGGAGGAGCAGGGCGAGGAGCAGGAGGGTGACGACGAAGACGATGACAACGACGACGAGTACGAGGACGAAGGAGAGGCCGACGACGAGGGCGAGGAGGAAAAGGAGGGGGGGACGGAGGGGGACGACGAGAAAGAGAGGGAGGAGGAGGGGGAGGAGGAGGACGACGACGGAACGGAGGAGGGGGGAGGATCGGGATGGGGGAGGAAGAGGAGGAGGAGAAGGAGGAGGAAAAGGAGGAAGAGGAGGAGGAGGAGGAGGAGGAGGAGGAGGAGGAGGAGGGACGACCGTCGCGCCCACCACAAGGGGGAACCCCGTGTGGTGGGTCCAGCAGGAGGAGGAAGAGGAGGAGGAAGAGGAGGCGGACGACGACGACGACGACGACCACGACGACGATGAGGACGAAGAGGAAAAGGAAGAGGAGGATCAGGAGGAGGAGGGCGCCATCGACAGGGAAGGTGGGGGCCACGAGGTCCGCCGGCTCGACGACGCCCGCGTCGCCCGCGGCCGCCCCCTCACTCTTATCCGCATTGGCGGGGTGCTACGTATGTGTATATCCGCATCCATATCCATATCCATATCGATACCCTCCGACCGTCAGGGTCTCCGAAAATCCCCCCCCCCAGGCGGTGGACATGTAGAAATCCACGCCTCGGAGAGTGGCCTCGCGGCCCGCCCTGGGCCCGCGTCGCGCCTGCGCAGCCACTCGTCGATGCAGGGTGCGTGGAAGACATGGCCGCAGGGCAGGCGGCGCACCTCGCAGCACGGGGAAAGGGGGGGGGGGGCGGGGCACGAGACCCCGAGGCCGCTGCACGTTAGCTGGCCACTCCTGGAACCTGCCTCCTCACCACGACAATTCTGCGGCAACTCCAAGCCACGAGTATGTATATATATATATATACACACATAACTCTATATATGCATCAGTGAGAGAGAGAGAGAGAGAGAGAGAGAGATGGAGAGAGAGAGAGAGGCACCCTCCGACGAACTTTCCACGAACCTTCAGGGAGGGCGGCGGTGTACAACGCCACCCTCTCCTGAGGCAAAACACCAATCCATTGGAGGGTGTCAATATATATATATGTATATACACATACACGCATATATTGAAAGTGCTGCATTGCATATAAAGGGAACCTCCCATGCCACCTTGCTAGCTCTTGCGAGTCGATGCTCACCGGCACGAACTAAACGACACTCATTCGACGCTGGCCGGCTCGACATCGGCACCAAATCGTCGCCAGTCGACGCAACATCTGCGCTTTCGCATCAATTACCAGACGCTGGCGCACCCTTGTGCACTCTAAAGATACAAATTTAAGAACAAAGAAGGTTCCCATAAGATGCCACCGGAAAACGCTCGGCGGAGAGCGAGGGGGAAAGTCAGCCGGAGAAGGCCTTCTCAAAAGGCAGCGGGGCGCCTCCGAAGTCCTCTGGCCTTCTCAGAAATGTTATGTGACTTCGGGGAAGGCTTAGACAACGTCTCTGAATAACGGCGAACTTCCGAGCCTTCTAATAAGGCCCACCCCTTCAGCTAGACCCTGGGTAAGAGTGACCCTTGGTGCGTGGCTTTGGGGGGAGGCCGCAGTGGGCCAGACACAAGCGCGCAAGACGCTAATGTCGCATCGCGTTCGGCGATAGGGGAGCCCCTTTGGTCCCGAATCAAAGGTCACTCCGGCGCAAGGTCACTCTTACGTCTCGTCGACCCCTTCTCATTTTTCCCCCCGGCGCGCCGCCGACGAAAGGCGGCGAAGACCCGCACCAGATCGCTGCACACCACCACAGCAGGGTTGGGCCGCGAGCGAGCGAGCGGCGGCCGTCGATCGGCGCGCGTCCGCGAGCAGAACTGTCAACAGCTCTGAGTCACCCCAACAAAAAGAGACCCCTAACCCTGTGGGAGGCGACCTAAGTTAGGAGGGCCAAAAACATGAGGGATTATGTTTTCTTTCTGCAAATGTATCCAACCAAACCGCCCAGGTCTATGATCCCGGATGTGAAGACGGGGACCTCAGTGAGGCCACGTCTTCATCGTGCTATTCGGGTTAGGGGTCCTTCTGTTCTCAATGAAATTCCCAGGCGTGAAACGGAGTGGTATGGCAGACGACACGGCAACTGCTGGGAGGTTCTCTGGGAACCAAGACGAGGCCAGGACGGGGATAACATCGGGTGAGGATACATAGGGAATCTCTGAGATCTGGAGGCTCTGGAGGATGTCTCGGGCACCACGGCCTCCCTCCTCAGAGCGTTCCGCTCGGGAACGGATTTCTCCTCGACCTAGCCCAGTCCGCACACGGCAACTCCCGAGAAAGTCTCTGGGCGAGACTGGGGGCCGATCGGTTGTATCGGACGCTACTGAGTCAGCCCACGGAGCTCCTGAGCAGAAACCGATCAGGTCCACTCTTTACGACGTCAGGAATAAGCCCGACGAGGGCAAACCAGCACGAGGGCAATAAGGCAGGGTGACGTCTGGATGACGACGGTGCTGGTTTCTGACACCGCGCAAATCGCTTAACCTGGACGCCCGAAATGGGTACGGAAAAATAGGGAACAATGCCCAACAACAAATGTTGTCCCAAACCCACAGCGGTCGCTGTTGGGCAGGCGACTCTGTCTTCAGAGAGCAGCGCCCACGGCGGCGCGAGCAGTGAGCCCTGCTCAAAATGAACAGGAACTACAGTTGGGTATCGTACCCATTCTTTCCGTATCCATGTCGATCGTCCTGATTTAATTGCGGGCAATAATTCTACCCATATCGAGATCGTCTTGGGCTTTTTGGGAAGGGGTGCCGCAAAGCCGACGCGCACTGGATATGGATAACAATCTAGCCTCTTGGGGCCAGATGCTTATCCATATCCAAGGCGTCTCCGGCTGCTGGGGAAAAGAGAGCCCCAAACTCCAAGACGCACTGGATGTGGATAGAACTATCGCCCGCATTAACGCTTGAACGATCGCAACTCTCCGGTGGCGCAAGCCGATCGATGCCCGTCGATTCGGGGCGGCCGCCGGCAACGCTCTACCAAACACGCCCGTGCTTCGGGGCCGACGCCGCGCTGGCGCAGCGCACACCTATACCGCACGTGAGCATCTGCAGGGGCCACAAGCGAACCCTACCCTCGCCTTCAAAAATCGTGGGGGGTAGGGGTAGGGTTCGCATGCGGCCCTCGAATCTGCAAAGAAGGCGCATCCAAAAGGCGCAAGGACTTAGTGGGCACTGGAAACGGCAAAGCCGTTATTTTCACCCGTTCCGTTTGCCGTTTTTCGGCCGGTTCCGACGCCGATTTTTCGCCGGTTCCGTCCCCGTTTTTTACCGGTTCCGGCTCCGGTTCCAATCATGGAGCCGTTTTTGTTGCCGTTTCCGGTCGCCGTTTTTTTGCCGCTTCCATTTCCAAGGGACACTTGTTCGGAAACGGTGGAAAGACGGCCCTGCCGTTTCCAGGGTCCACTAAGGCTCAGGGACACACCAGTAAATAGGAACAAATCCCGGGATTCCCCGTACTTGCCAGACTTGCTTGATGCTCGTCTGCCCCTCCACTCCCCATACTCTCAGCACTCTCCTGGAAATCGACGGTCTCTTGTGTCTGTGCGTCTGTGCCCTCCTGACATCCAGATATCCTAGACACAGGGCTAAAATTCGGTCGAACGATGCTCAGCCCCTGCCCCCGTCGACGTCCTTCCCATGTGAGGGGCCCCGGGAACCCAAGCAGGTCCAAGAAGCGTCAACCGCCGCAGGACGTTCCGCAGTGCACCAGGCTGCCGCTTGGATGCCCCCGAAAGGTCGACATCGGTCCCAAGACAACACAAAGCCAGATTTCACGTGTCAGTGTGCACTGATCATGTTCTGACGTGCCGCTCCTGTCGCCTATGGACTGCCTCCATCGGCCCCATGGCCGCCTCGAACAGGAACGAGGAGCACAAGAAACCGAACATGCCACACAACTATTGGTGGGCAATACCACGCAAGAGAAACCCAATGCAGCCCAAGTAGCCCCAGACGGGCCAACGACTCCCCCAATGCAGGCCCACAAAACGTCATTTGGCTCCCCGCGGCGTCAAGCGGATCAGCACTTCCACCTCAAACCTACTACGGCAGGCCACGTATGCTCCCCCGTCAGCCACAAGGAGCACCTGGCATGCCGAACAGTTCAAACACATGTTATTCGGAATCGAAAATCATGTCTAAATGAATTGAGACGTGGCTCAATTTAGTAATGGACGTAGAGGAAGGAAACCAACGATGTTTAAAGTAAGAAGGCGCTATCCGATCGCCCAGCTAGGATCTGAGGGGCAAGCATACAAACTTTTTACTCATGGACTGTGGAGTCTCCGAGCGCCTTCTGGCATCTGGAATCGAACTGGCAATGAACAACTAACTTTTCGCGTGGTCTGGTCGGACCCCGCTTGGTTCGACACTCCCCCGCGATTGAAAACATCGGGAAAATCATGTGCTGCCTCGGCAATACATGATATTACCACGACAACGAACTCTACGCAACCCAACGGGCAAACGGAGACGTGACCCGGAAAAACACTGCTCCCCAGACAACCAGCCGGTGCCGCGCGCCTCGTGTACACAACACCGTTGCAACAGTCACCTGCAGCTTGATCCGCCCAGGCGACAGGGAGCAGGGGTCAGCGGAACGAGCAGGATGATAAGCAACACAAGCACGCCTAACCCTTTTGGGAGGGGGCCCAAGTTAGGAGGGACAGAACCTGAGGGATGGGGGGTCTTTTCTGCAGATGCATCAGAGCTCACTTGTTCTCGATGACAGGAGCCCGAAACGTGCGTTCCCGCGATTGCCGCAAGGCAGACAAGGCTATCGCGGTGGCGCGTCCCGTGGTGGACGCGAGGGGGTGCACTCGGCCAGCGGTCACCCCCCGCGCGGCCCCGCGCTCTCCCTGCACCCTCCACCGTCCACCAGCGGGTCCGGCCCTGGGGCGGAGCCAACCGGCGAGTTCCCATGGCACGAGCAGGCACGTGTCAAGGCACGACGGTCCCACCGTCTCGAAAATGGGCGGGGAAGCCATGCCCTGCCGGGCTCCCCCGACAAGAGAAGCTGTCGGGGTTTCCCGCAACAAGTCAGCGCACGCACTCCCATGACCAGCGCTCCGTCTCACCCACTCTGCAGGAAGCGTCGCAATGCCAGTTGGGCCGAAACGTCTTGCGATCAGGGCGTCGTTCATATGGGCAATACAGTGTCCATGTCGATGTGTATGTGGTGCTGGACAGGTTGCTGTCAGACAGCTGGTGCGCTGTTTCTGCTGGAAGCTGGAAAAACAAAAATACCTCCCCATCCAACCTCCACTCCCTTTCCCCACGGAGGGATCAAGCAATCACGACTAGCTGGAGACGCAGAAGGAAGATGAGTGCGCTGAAAGGAAACATAAGTATGTCGGGCAAGTCCTCCTACAGGCGGATTTTCGAGAAAAAGCAAAACATACTCCGAAAATATTAGGAAATAGTCAAAACAAAAATGAAAAAACGCCCCCGCACTATGTTTAAACTAGTTTTGAAGATTCCACCTGTAGAGGGACAGGCCCGACTCAACACACGACGTACGCTCCGGATCTTCATAGAAGACCGCCGCCCCTGCCCACCCCCCCCCTCCTGTCCGAATCGTGGAACCCTGGAGCTCTCTCCATCGGGCGGCGTCCAAAAGTGAAGGGGAACTGGGACACACAAATAAATACACACAAATAAACACATCCCCCATATTTTCCCATATTTTCTGGGTTTTTGTCTTCCTCCCCACTTCCCATATTTTCCCATATTTTCTTGGGAATCGACGATTAATTGTGTCTGTGTGTTTTTTCCCCTCCTGAGTCCAAAAGGGCGGCGTCCAGGAGTGGGGGCCGCAGATCCTGGCCCGAGGCACGTGCGAAGCCCAAGGGGGGGGGGGGCAAGGAAGTCATGGACATGAGAAGGGGAGGCCTCGAAACCGGGGGCGACGTCATGGCCCCCGCCATGATCCTCCCCTCCTCCCCTGGTCGTCAACCCCCTCATGGCCGACCCCGACTCGATCCCGCCCCCCAGGCCAAGACACATATTTCACCCCGAATGGTTCTTGCCTGATTGGAGGCCCGCCGGACATGGCCCTGGACACCGTCCGCGGCCACGCCGACAGCGATTCCTGTTCAAAAGCGATAAGAATTTCTGTCGGTCTTCGTACCCACTCGTTCCGTACCCATTTCGATCGTAACGATCCCTTCACCCGCGCGTTCCTTCCACTTGCTACTGCTGTACAGGTACCCTGGCTTGAGCAACCCCCCCCGGCGGCAACGGCCGCCAGGGAGGGGGATGGCTGCACCCCTTGGCGGGCCCAATGCCGCCAGGACGCAGGGAGCATGAGGACGCCGAGGCGAAACACGCATCCGTACCCGCAGACATCGTGGGCGAAACACATACAGTGGAGGCCGACCTCCAGAAATCTTCCAGCAGAAGCCCAACCCTGAGACCCCAGGACGCCCACTGATTTATGGTGTGGGAGCGTCACGCCTTCCACAGCAGATCCATCGGAACCCAAGACACCCAGGGCACCCTGAAGGCGAGCAAGGTGCTTCTTGGCATGGGCCTCCACTGTACCCGTATCAGCGGCCTCGCTGGGCGAGCCCCCGAGCCACGCCCACGCGGATACGGGAGGCTTTCCTTCGCGGATGCCGCCCCTCGCGCGGAGCGCATCTCCGTGCGACCGCGCATCACCGCGGGCTCGCACCCCCGAGACTCCAGACCGCGAGGGCACGAATGCGGGTACGTGCCCCCGCCGTTCGCGACTCGGGCGTTGGCAGAACTGGGTGTGATGGAACCTGGTTTAGTGATTTGTACCGGGGGCGCCCCCCCGTCCCATTTACACTAACCGGAACTGCCGCGTCACCCGAAAAACACCAGCCCCACGGCCCTACCACTAACCGGGTCCCCTTACCCGGGGTCCTGGCTATACCCGAGCAACGGCAGGCTCGCGCGAGCGCCTGGTCCCCCGCCTCGAAGTCGGAGAGGCACACCATGCACTGCTGCTGCTGGCTCCCGCTCGGCCCGTCCGGCTCCCACCTGGGCGAGGGGGCGCGAAGGCACGTCCTCTTCCTCTTCTCCTCCTCCTCCTCCTCCTCCTCCTCCTCCTCCCCTCCTCCTCCTCCTCCTCCTCCTCCTCCTCCTCCTCCTCCTCCTCCTCCTCCTCCTCCTCCCCTGGGCCTCCTCCTCCTCCTCCTCCTCCTCCTCCTCCTCTTCCTCCTCCTCCTCCCCCTCCTCCTCATCCTCAAACTCGTCATCCGCCTCCTCCTCCTCCGTGAGCCCCACGAGCATGCTTTCGCAGGCCGTCCGCTTGGGCACTTTGCGGCAACTGCCTGTGGTGCTGCTGTCCCAGATTGGTACGATGCTGGTCTTCCTGGGCCCAGAGGACGACAGTACCAAAACGACTCCTGTTTCTCCTCCTCCTCCTCCCTCCGCCTCCTCCTCCTCCTCCTCCTCTTCCTCGCCTCATCCTCCCCCTCCTCCTCCTCTCCTCCTCCTCCTCATCCTCCTCCTCCTCGCTCACTCCTCCCATGGGCCCAGGGGAGGACAGTATCGAAACGACATCGGATGGGAAGCCAGCGCAGGGGAGCGGCAGCGCGGATCCATGGCACAAGTAAGAACCCGTCCCCCCTCCTCCTCCTCTTCTCCTCGTCCTCATCTCCTCCTCCTCCTCCTCCTCCTCCTCATCATCATCATCATCATCATCATCATCATCACCATCACCACCACCACCACCACCATCATCATCATCACCATCATCACCATCATCACCATCACCATCATCATCATCATCATCATCATCATCATCATCAGCATCATCATCATCATCATCATCATCATCAGCATCATCATCATCATCATCATCATCATCATCATCATCATCATCATCACCATCACCATCACCATCACCATCACCATCACCATCACCATCATCATCATCATCATCATCATCATCATCATCATCATCATCATCATCATCATCATCATCATCATCATCATCATCATCATCCGCCCCCCTCGGTACATATGACCTTGCTGGAGTCCAGTGGACTCCAGCAAGTTCTCTAGCACCGAGTGGGGGGCCAGGGAGTTGGCCGTGCGCGATCCTGGAACGAACCTCTGGAATTCACGCAGGTCAAATCTCACTTGAACGATGTTTCTGCTCAGCGTCGCCTCAGTAGGCAGATGAATGGCCGGGGGCCTTGGGAAAGCAACCAGAATGTCGAGGGCACGTCGCCGTGGGAAGGAAACCCATCAGCGCGCTACTGATGAGGCACCACGATGGAAGAACACGCTGACGCGAACCCAACGGCAACGCGCCATTGCTACGGCTGTCCACTCCCGAGGCCTCGCGAGCCCTGCACAGCAGGCGAGCAGCGCCAGCGCACCCCCCCCCTCCGTCGAACCTGCGGGACACTGCTGCCGAGGAGGGCCGCCGTCGGGGCCACGGTCCACTGGCGACGACGAGGCCCCATCTCGCTCCCATCACGGTCGAGCAGGGGCAAAATCAATCACCACCGAATCCGGGAACCGGCTGAGATGGGCATGCGCGTCGGCTCGGGCTACATCTGCACCGAGCTGGAATCGAAGATCATCGGCTGCGCCAAGATGTACAATAACGACAAGCAAGCACCGGCCGCATCGGATCATCGGAACATCGGAAACGGGTCGTGGCAGGCTGGCCGAAACCAGTATCCAATCGGATCAATCGGATCGGCACGGGCCCTGAGAGGGGGGCTCATGAAAAGGCTCCAGTGGAAGACTCGGGCATCTGCAATACCCCGACGCAAACATTGCAACATCGCGAGGAAGCACGCCCAGAACCCTCGACCCCGCCTTCCTGCTGCACTCTTCGATCCGGATCGATCTTGTAAGGGTCCCCGAGCCCGAAAGAGGGCGGAACCGCCCAGTGCGAAAAAATCTGCAACGCCCAGATCTGAGGGTCAGGGGGACGTAAAGGTTGGGTAGGGGCAGAGGTGGGGTTCAGGGACGTCGCTCTAACGGCTCCTGGAAGGACAGGTCAGCATCCAGAGCTGGGTTCGCTCCCGAACCCCACCTTGGGATGACCCCTCCCTACGGGCCCTCGAGAGGGTCCCAGGCAGCTCGGGCCGGGCGGCCCACGCGGTGCTGTCTATGCGGTTGATCGTATCGTTGTTCAGGCCGCGGCGGCGGCTGAGCATCTCCTGCCGCAGTGGGGGCCCCATCGCCGCGGCTGCCTGGCAGTGTGTAGGTCGGGCATGTCCTCCTACAGGCGGATTTCGGGCGACAATTCAAACATGTTTTAAAAAATGCCCTCAAATAGCAGATAAATGCTAGAAAAATCGTCCCCAGACCATTTCTTGACTATTTTTTGTAGATTCCTCCTGTACAGGGACATGCCCGACTTAATCCTGGCAGCGCCGGCGCCCTCTCGGGAGGCAGCTTCGGAGAGAGAGAGGCCTCCGCGGGACGGGCTGATGGAGGCCTCCCCAAAGGAGTACGAGCAGCAGGGATCGAAAGATCGCGCCGCATGCTCGATGCATCGGCGATGAGGCCCGATCTTCGAGTAACAAAACGCTGTATCAACATGAGTTTTCAGAGGTCCGTGCGGGTTTCCTGGAACGGCGCTGGGCCCCCTCCCTGGCGCGCGGAGCGCGCCAAGTGCAGCGCCGGAGGCGCCGCCAGGGGGCCCAGCGCGGATCCAACAAATCCGCGTGGAGCTCCAAAAGAAAATTGCGAATGCCGCCGTGCTTCTTCGAGCATCGCCGATGCTTTGGCGATGCGGCACGATCCTGCGACCCCATCTGCTCGGGACACACTTGGGTGCCAGGTGTTGAATTCTGCACTCGAGCATGGGCCTCGAGCTACCCATTCGCCGTCGAAGCTCGTCGGCGGACTCATTGGCAGCAACAGATGATGCAGAACTGTGGTTGTGGCTCGTGTAACCTACCTCTTTTGCCGAGCCCCTCATGTTTGTCCTCCTAGTCAGTCAGTCTATGCCCTGGGGGGCCTCTCAAATACGCGCAACTGGTAATAACTGTAGTTCGCCTGCCAGCCCAGGACTCAGGAGCCGTCCTCCTGCTGGAGGGCCAAGTAATGGCGGCTTCTGGTTCAGCATCTTGCGAACGCCAGCGCCTTCCACACGGCAACTTACAACCCCTCGCGAGACCTCCTGCACCGAATGATCATTGGGGGCTCGGCGCGTCAACCGGTAATCGCCGGTTTGGGTGGTCCCGCGCGACAGCTAGCTGGTTCAATTCTGCAGAGCGTCCGTGATAGGACACGGAAGCTGAATACGATTGAGCGCGATCAGTCAGATTGTCAACCGAATTGAGCTAAGTTCAAAGCCAGCAGGAGGCCAGATCAAGATGGTTAGAGCATGATTGAAAATGACAAGACTGGATCAAGCTTGGCTTCGACCACGGATGCGATGCACCAGCGCCGACATTGAACTGCAACCCAAACCTTCTGCTCTCCCGCTCCCGCCCGCTCTCCTGCGTGTACATGCATGTTCCGCCCTCGCGCTCCCGCCCGATCACAAGGGAGAGCGATGCGGGAACCGAGATCTTGATCTCGGAAAGGGGACTACGCCTCCAAAAATCCTTCCGTCCCTTTGAGGGGCACCGTGCTGAGAAAATGCTGCTTGGCTGCTGTCTTGATTCATTTGTACTCTCTTCTGTTCGTGGGTGTCCGCCTCTTGACTTTCCAGCAGAGTCTCCATTCTACCATCTACGGGCTCCCGGCGCCAACACAGGCCACCAGGGGGAGTCTGTTTTCAGCCTCCTGGTCCCTCTGGGCTGCCCCAGGCTGCCCCAGACGGCCAAGAGCGTCAAAGATGCCTCGAAGACAGTGTCAAGCGCCTCCGAAGCGGTCCTCACAAGAGTCCGAGAACCCCCAAAGAACTCCAAGATGTGTGTAGGATAATCCAGGAGGGCCCCGAAACGCTTGAGTGGTGTGCCAGAGCGGGTGCGGCGCCGCTGTGCAGACCATGCCGTTGGGGCGTCCGGTGGAGCTCCCCTATGGGGCTACGAAACGTGTCAGGGCTGTGAGGAGGAAGGACGACCACGGCGACAACGACGACGGAAACGACCACGACGCCGAAGAGGACGACGACGACGAATACGAGGAAAGACAGAGGACGACGTAGGCGACGACGACGACGCGGGAGGAGGGAGGACGGCGACGACGACGACGACGACGACGACGCAAGAGCGCGCCGACGTGGGTGCGGAGCCGCCATGCGGACCCTGCCGCTGGGGCTTTCGCTGGACCCCCCCCTTTATGCGGCTACGGAGCGTGGCGAGGGGTGTGCCGAAAGGGGTGCGGCGCCGCCATGCGGATGCTGCCGCTGGGGCCCTGGAGGAGCTCGCTGTGGGGCCACGAAGCGTGTCAGGTTAACTAGGTGTGCGGAGGAGGGGAGAGGAGGAAAGCAGAGGCCAGGATAGGAGCAAGGACTGGGGACAACGGGAGGAGGACGGCCTGGTGGAAACTTCGACATCGGCGATTACGATTCTCGATCCTCCAGATGTTTGCCGTCGCCGCCGCCGCAGGTCGTCGCACCCGCCCGGCGGTGTCCTGCACCTCGATGAGGCGCTCCTCGTAGCCCCCCGCGAGGGCCTTCCAGCGGAATCACCCCGGAGGCGGGGGGGGGACGGGGACGGTACAGCAGGGGCCCGACCACAAGGAACCTTCCACCAGAAACCCAACCCTGAGACCCCAGGACGTCCATTGACTTTTGGCGTGGGAGCGTCCCGCTGTCCTAAGCAAAAACATCGAAACCCAAGAAACCCAGGGCACCCTGGAGGCAAGCAGGGTGTTTCTTGGCATGGGCCTCCACTGTAAGGGGGGAAAGGGCCCAAGGGGGGAACGGCGACTTGGAATCTGCGATGCACCGTCGATGGACCGGCGAGAACAACGCCCGAGAGCGGCACCGCCTGCTCTCGGGCGGCGTGGGCTGTCGAGTCGAGCCCTGTCGGCGATCAATGGGCGATGCGAGCCCGCCTATGTACGATTGGGTCGGGCGTGTCCTCCTAAAGGGGGATTCGGGACGCAAAAAAAAGTTCTCGAAACTCAAGAATCGCCCCCCGACTATTTTCGAATCCTCCTCCTGTAGAGGGACAGGCCCGACGTGAAGGTCAGCTGTCGGGTCCAGGCCGTCTTTCCTCCCTCGATGAAACTGCCGCCTCCGACTGGTGGCCAGGCCGGCCGAGGTGCTGGCCTGTGCGCGGTGGCGGGGGGGGCAAGGCGGCCCCGGCAGCGCGCGGCGGGCGCTCGCTCCTCGTGGAGCCCCCCCCCGCGGGGGCCTCCGCTGGCACGCGGGGTGGGGTTCTCTTCTGGCTGGGCCTGCCGGGGCACCAGCCGCCGCACTCTGAGTGGGCCAGCAAAGGGGGAACGAACAACGGCAGAAACATTATAACTCGGAGATCCGCGCGGATTTCTCGGATCGGCGCTGGGGCCCCCTGGCGGCGCCTTTGGCGCCGCCCCTGGCGCGCTCCGCGCGCCAGGGAGGGGGGTCCAGCGCGGATCCAAGAAATCCGCACGGACCTCGGAGTTCCTATGTTTCTGCAATGTTTCGCTGCCTTACGGAAGCCCGACGACACCACCCCACTTGCGACCCAGCGATGCTGAAAGTATGGGCAGCTGCCCAGCTGCGACCACCGACGACCCGCCTACGAGTCTACCCCACCTGCGGACCGACCCACGTCCCCGCGGGACGTAGGTGGGGTGGTATGAATTGGTTCTCGGTCGACAGGGGGGCGGAGGGACAGGGCGGCCCAGACAATCGGGCACACGCTGACGGGGATGAGGGATCCGTGGACGTGGCGCGCGGGCGCCGCGTCCACGAATCGGGGAAACTGCCCCCCGAAGAATCAAGGCGGTGCCGCCTGATCTGGCCACGGAGCGCGTCGCCTTCGTGTGGAGACGGGGCCCGTCCCCAATCCGCGCTGTGTGTCTCCGTGTCTGCGCCTCCTCGAGACAGGCACTCACGCGTTGCGGGAGGAATGCGACGGGATGCGCTCGGAGTCGGCCCCCCGCGAGGGCCTCCGCGGGCGCGCGCTGGGGGAGCCCGTGGCTGAGCCGACGTACGGGCCGGTGTCAGAGTGAACTTGCGGCGACCTCTGGCGCTGCTCCTGGGTCGCCTCGCGCGCCAGTCGGCGGGGGCACAGCGCCGACCCAGAGAATCCTTGCAGACATGCCAGAAGCTGAAGTTCACGATGCACTTGTCGAATTGGGGGGGCACACAACATCACATGCCTCCACGAATCACAAACAAAAATGCGACCACCGCGCGCTCTGCGGTTGCCCGCATCTTGTCCATAGACCTGCTCCAACATTCAAAATGGACGGATTGAATCTGTATATGTGTAACTGTGTATATGTTAAGCATACAGATATGATGCATGTGTGTACGTGCATATCTATATATATATATATATAGATATATATGTATATGTATGTATATATATATATATGTATGTATGTCTGTATGCGTGTGCGTGTATATGCCACCGTGCCCCGAGGAACGAAATGGAGTGCACTCGGGTCTTCTAAGGATGCAGTGGATGCTGGAATTCTCTGTATGGAATCACTCACAGACTGGAATTCCCAGCGCTCCTGGGTGTTTCCTCCCCGCGCGATTTTTCCGGAGGCAGGACGGTTTCTACAGTGGCCAAGAGGGCTTCAGGACCCCAAGACGGTCCAACAGGGCCCCGAGTCGCCAATCGATCGCTCCAACTCTTAGAACGCCCAAGATGGCCTGAAGACGGCCCAAGAAGCTCCCAAAATGTTTGAAGAGAGACCCAAGCCCACCCCACAGGGGGCGCTATGAGGCCAATATCACGTATGTCCAGTTGCTTTGACAGGGTTTAGCAATCTCTCATGTTTAGGCTCGCAGCGCTCCAAGAGATCCCCAGATGACCCCACGATCGCCCCGAGAAGCCCCAAGGGGCCCCCAGGAAGTTTCGATGACGACCCAAGAAGCCCGCAAGACCGGACAAGAACCTCCCAAAGTCGCCCCCGAGCCCGCCAAAAGGCCCCAAAGAGGCCCCCTAGGAAGCCGCAAATTGTCCGCAATAGGCCGGAAGGAGGCCCCTAAGAGATCCCCGCGAGATCCCAAGACGACCCAATACCGCCTCCAAAGAAGGCTCCCGAGAGGCTTCCCTCGAGGTCAACACAGGCACTCAGCGGACCTCCGACCTACAACCCAGGCGCGGCTGCGAGGTGGGCCGAAGGCCACGAAGTACACTCGTCCTAAAATTTGGGCCCTTGGGTAATTCAGAAAGTACCGATTCGCTACTCCCCCGACCTCTCCCGGGGTGCGTTCTGACAAGAATTTCGAGGCGAATCCGACGGTGGCGACGAGGGCATCCGAGGAGGCCCAAAAAGGGGAAAACGAGGAAAGGGTAGAGGTATCGGTACCTTCCGCTTCCTCCTCTGAGAGGTGGGCTGAAGGGCACGAAGTACACACTCGTCCAAAAGTTGGGGGTCCTGCAGCGGTGCGGCGCCACACGGCGAGGACGAGTACGGGGAGGCGGAGAGCACAGGAGCAGAGATAGGTGCCGAAGCTTCCTCCTCCTCCTCCTCCTCCTTCCTCCCCTTCCTCCTCATCATCATCATCATCATCATCATCACCATCACCATAACCATCACCATCACCATCATCATCAGCAACATCATCATCATCATCATCATCATCATCATCATCATCAACATCATCATCATCCACATGATGATCCTCATCCTCTTCATCATCCTCATCATCATCCTCGTCCCCTTCCTCACAATCATCATCATCAACATCAGCATCATCAGTATCGGCATCATCACCATCGTCGTCTTCGTTGTCATCATCATCACCACCACCAACACCATCACCATCAGCATCATCATCGTCAGCGTCATCATCGCAGTCATCATCAGTACCAGTATCAGTATCAGTATCAGTATCAGTGTCAGTGTCAGTATCAGTATCAGTATCAGTATCAGTATCAGTATCATCATCATCATCATCATCATCATCATCATCATAATCAGCATCAGCATCATCATCATCATCATCAACATCATCATCATCATCATCATCATCATCATCATGATCATCATACTCACTAGCATCATCTTCATCATTATACCCACCCCTCACTCCACCTCCCCACACTGCGTCGTCCTCATCCTATTATCTTCCTCCTCCTCCACCTCCTCCTCCACCTCCTCCTCCTACTCCTCCTGCTCTTGCTCATCCTCCTCCTCCTCCTTATCATCATCATCATCATCATCATCATCATCATCATCAGCATCATCATCATCATCATCATCATCATCATCACCACCTTCATCATCAGCATCATCATCATCATCACCATCCGCATCCTGAGCCTGATCCTCATCCTCAGCATCATCAGTATCGGCATCATCATCATCGTCGTCTTCGTCGTCGTCAGAATCTTCACTACCACCATCATCACCCTCACCATCATCATTGCCAACATAATCATGATCATGATCAGCATCAGCACCGTCAGCATCATCATCAGCAGCATCATCATCATCAGCATCATCATTATCCCCACTCCTCATTCCACCTCCCCACACTCTGTCGTCCTCATCCTACTCTCCTCCTCCTCCTCCTCCACTCATCCTCCTCATACTGTTCCATCTCCTGCTCCTCCAACTGTTCCTCCTTCTCATCATCATCATCATCATCATCATCATCACCACCATCATCATCATCATCCTCATCCTCATCCTCATCATCATCAACATAATCATCATCAGCATCAGCATCATCAACATCATCATCGGAATCATCATCATCATCATCATCATCAGCATCATCATCATCATCATCATCATCATCATCATCATCATTATCATGATCATCCACATCCTGATCATCAGTCTCGTCATCATCCTTATCTTCATCCTCATCCTCATCTCCATCCTCATCTTGATCATCATTATTATCAGCATCATCATCGTCGTCTTCGTCGTCGTCATCATCATCACCACCATCATCACCATCCACATCACTATCAGCATCATCATCATCGTCATCAGCATCATGGTCATCATCATCATCATAATCAGCATCAGCATCAGCACCAGCATCATCATCATCATCATCAGCATCATCATTATCATTCTCCCCACGCCTCACTCCACCTCCCCACACTTTATCGTCCTCATCCTACTCTCATCCTCCTCCACCTCATCCTCCTCCTACTCCTCCTGCTCCTGCTCCTCCTAATCCTCATCCTCCTCCTCCTCATCATCACCACCACCACCATCATCATCATCAGCATCATCATCATACTCGTCATCATCATCATCATCATCATCATCATCATCATCATCATCATCATCAGCATCAGCATCAGCATCATCATCATAATCATTATCATCATCATAATCAGCATCATCATCAGCATCATCATCACCATCAGCATCAGCATCATCATCATCATCATCATCATCATCCTCATCATCACCATCACCATCGCAATTACCACCACCATCACCATCGCCATCCGCATCCGCACACTCATCACCCTCACTGACTCTCTGCGACACCCTGCGACACATGAAGAGTGCACGCGAGCTCGCCACATGGAACCGCCTGCACTCGGCTCGACTCGCACTCTGGGGAGGAGGGGAAGGAGGTGTCCTTCCCCAGGGGCCGCCCCGCCGTCTTTGCGCGGCCGCGTCGTCGTCGTTTTGAAAGCAATATCAACGTCGTCGTCATCGGTGTCGTCATTGTCGTCGTTTTGCGAGTCGCGTGTTGATACCGCATCGAGATCAATATGTCTTGGGTCATGGGTGGGTGGGAGGTGGCGTGGGTGCACCTGCCTGGATTCCTCCTTCTCCTCCTGCACCTTCCCACGCCGTCCGGGGCGCCCAAAGGAAACTTCGACGCGCGAACCTCGAGCCGACTGGGGCACGGCGCTGCGAGCCGACGGGGGCCTCGGTGTTGAGCAGCAGCATCTGGAGGCCGGGCGGCAGGTGCGAGAGCTGCTCCAGGAGCTGCGCCCCGCGCGCGCGCGAAGAGGCTTGGCGGGGCCTCCGCCCGCTGCTGTCCCCTGCTCCTCCTGGCCTCCTCCTGGCCATCTCCGCGTCTCCTCTCTCTCTCCCCGCCTCCTCCTCCTGGCGACACCTCCAGGCTCTCCTTCCTCCTCCGGCATCCCCCTGGCTCGTCCACCTGGCCGCCTGGCCTCCTAGCCACCTGGCCTCCTGACCTTATGGCCTCCTGGTCCCCTTCCTCCTCTTCATCCTCCTCCTCCTCCTCCACCTTCCCCTCCCAGCAGCAGGTGGCAACGAGGCCAGAAAAAAGAAGAGGAAACAGAGGAGGATGAGGCGGAACGGGGAGAAGGGGAAGCCGGAAGGAGGAGGAGGAGGAGGAGGAGGAGGAGGAGGAAGAGGACAGAGGACAGAGGACAGAGGAGGAGGAGGAGGAGGAGGAGGAAGACGAGAGAGGCGGAGGAGGAGGAGGAGGGGAAGGATGGGCAGGAGGAGGAGAGGAGAAAGATGAGGAGGAAGAAGAGGAAGTGGAAGAGGAGGCGGAGGACGGTGAGGAGAAAGAGGACAGAGGAGGAGGGGGAGGAGGAGGAGAAGGAGGATGAGAAGGAGGAGGAGTCATCACCCTCATGCTGGGGCTGCTCCTCCCTGCCACCCCCCCCCAACCCCACCCCGGACACCCCCGCCCTCCCCCAGACGCCCTGAGCCAACCAGACCTCCATGCCATACAGCAGGGGCCCGACCACAAGAAACCTCCCACCAGAAACCCGACCCTGAGACCCCAGGACTTCCATTGATTTTTGGTGTGAGAACGTCGCACTGTCCATAGCAAAACCATCGAGACCCAAGAAACCAAGGGCACCCTGGAGGCGATCAGGGTGTTTCTTGGCATGGGCCCCCACTGTACCATGTAGACAAATCGCCAGAGCACAAGAGGACCGCCTTCTCTCCCTTCACTCCCCTCCCCCCTCCTCGTGCTCCTGTGCTCGTCCTGGCGGCCCCCTGGTGCTCCTTGCTCCTCCTGCCATCGTGACCCCGCGCCCTGGCTGCGGGCAGCTGGGCAGCTCCGGGCAAGACCAGGACAACACCCGCATCGGCTCTATGCGTGACCTCCTCCCGCCTGCTGCTGGGACCTGCAGGAGTAGGATTCACACGCAGTTTCCTGACAATCCATCGCCCAAGTGGGGTTTTTGGACCAGAGCTGGGATCCCCCGTCCTCCCAGGCGCGCGGAGCGCGCCAGGGGCGCGCCAGAGGTGCCGCCCCCGCCATTCAATGACGTCCAAGAGTTCTGTTGACCCCATCGTTCTTCAGGACCACATCCCAGAAATAATGTCGAGCACCCAGACAAGTATGGAAACAGTGTTGGACGATCGTCGCCTCTCAGGGCCCGGCACGTGAAAACCATGCAATGTCGGTACTTGATTGGTGCTCGAAGGTGGTCAAAGCTAAAGTAGGGTGGAAAATCATAGTCCAAAAGACGACCTCCTCCCGTGTCCCATCGCCCGCTTCCTTACCCCTTCCGTCCCCATCCCACTGCCTCATGCCGTCCTCCTCCCGATTCCCCCTGCCGACTCATGTGCGGTGTTGGTTGCAACAATGCAACATGCAAGAAATGGTCCGGGAGACATGTGACATGCGTGCGTCACCAGCAAACCAAACTACAGCATGACACCATGCTTTCTTGATACTGCAGAGATATCTGTATGGCATGCCACTGTCGTGCTGCCCGACCATTGTGTTGGCTTTGTTCTGCTATCGTGGGGTCGAAAATGTCGTTTAGTCCACTTGAAGCAATGCCGTCCGTCGCTGTCTTCCCGAGCGCCGGACTCACCGTAATTGATGTGATTTCCTTGTGCCAAATGACAGGATGTGTGTATATCTATATATATGTATAATATATATATATATATATATAATATATATATATATATTGATATATATATATATATATATATATATATATATGTACTCTCAGGCGAGCCTTTGGAATGCCGCGGAAAACATTATTATATGAGAGGCCTCCATGGCGGCTGTCGGTGTGTGCACAGAGGAGTCTGGCGCCGATCGAGCTGCGCCGAAGCAGCGATCTCCTCCAGGGGTGCACCAGAAAAGTACAGAGAGCACGCGCAATGAAACATATTGCTCTAAGAAATATAGGGGTGCCATGTGACCTCATCGGCAAACAAAAACTGATCGTGTGCCCCCGTGACCAGGTCAACTTCTGGTGTGGTGTGCCTACAGCAAGATATGTTTGTATATATATAAAAGAGAGAGAGAGAGAGAGAGACGCAAATCATTACACATGCAGACTTGCACACATGTTTATATGTTTATGTGTGTTTAGATGGCGGGTCCACGTTTATCATGTTACCGGCCTCTTGGACCCCGGTTTCCCCCAGCACTGGCGGTGACCCTTGCAACACCTTCCTCACTCTCATTTTCAAGCGGAAAGCCCTTACACTGAGTTCGTGTGGCTCATTGTACGACTTTCCTCGCAAAGGCTTGGAACCAAGGCTCTCTTGCGCTGTGGTGCCTGTGGCGATAGACTGGGGGAGGAGGGGGAAGATGAAGGAGGAGGAGGCGGAGGAGGAGGAGGAAGAATCGCCCTTCGCCTTCGCAGAAACGCCACATGCCAACGTACGGAGAACAAGTGTCTGGCCGATTCTCCGGGCGACAGGTTAATGAGCATGTCCCTGGCCCTGGTTCATGCGAAATGGGCCCCACCACCTCTGACACAGAGTCTCGGAGCCCACAATTGCGAGGATGCCTCGGGCGAAGCAGGCCGAACCATTTTAGACCAAATCGTCTCGGAACAGACCCGTAAGGATATCTCAAGCGAAACGGGCCAAACCGACTCAACATGTTTAGAACATCTCGACGCGCGGGACCCTCGGGCGGCACTCGTTCTTACCGGAACAAGTCCCACTGGCATCAGACAGGCTACCCGGGCACATTCCACAACAGAACCTCTAGAACGGCAACAAGCGAAAACCTCCCATAGACGTAACGCCCTCCATTTGCGGATAAGACCGAGGGGGCGGCGGGGTCGTCGGCAGTAAGCGAGGCGCTGACAAAGCCCGCCGAAGGCACCGATATTTTCACACTATACAACGAGCCCGCCGAAGGCGCTTACTTTTTCGTCAAAGCAATGTGGGTCAGTGGTCGCGGTGGTCGCGAGATGGGTCGCGGTGGGTCGTGAGGTAGTTCGCAGGCGGGTCGCGATAACAAAACAACACAAACAGCAACACCCAACACAAACACCAGCACCAACATCAACAGCAACAATAATAATAGCAACAACAAAGAACACCAACAACACCAGAACCACCAACAGCCAAAACCACAGCCACAGCCACAACGACAACCACAACAACCACCACCACCACCACAACAGCAACAACAACAACAGCAACAACATTAACAACAACATCAACAACATCAACATCAACAACATGAACATCAAGATCAACAACAACCACAATAACGCATGAACAACGCAACAACAATCCGCACCGCGGAATCCCGCTTCAGCCACACGCCCAGGGACAAATAATGTTTGTTTGGCCCGTTCACTCAAATACACATAATAAATTTATGGGTATACCAATACAAACGTGTGCAGTCACGTGCGAATATCAAACTAAAAGGGGCAAAACGGTCATGTACTGTCCCTGGGTGCGTGGCTGAAGCGAGGTTCCGCGGTGCGGATTTTGTTGGTGCGTTGCGTCCTCGACGCGCCCGCGATCCACCCAGCGACCCACCCCGTGACCCACCCGCGACCCACCTGCGACCTACCCATATTGCTTTGACGACCAACTCAGCTCCTGCGGCGAGCTCTACAGTGTAAAAATCGGCGCGAGCAGCGGCCTGCGTCAGAGCCTCGCAGACTGCCGACGACCCCGCCGCCCCCTGTCTTATCCGCAAATGCGGGGTGTTACGCATATTCGTGTGAGAATGTCAGAGCGAGAAGGTCGAACAATCATTCACTGTCCGTGTGTGCGAGGCTGAGATGGGGTCCCGCGATGCGGATTGTGATTGCGTTGCGTTTCGTTGCTGTCGTCTTCCCTCTCGCGACCCGGCCCGCAACCCACCCGCGACCCGCCCGCGACCCACCCGCAACTCACACGCGACCCACCCGCGGCCCGCGCCCGACCCACCCGCGCGATCCACCCGCGACCCATCCGGGGCCCGCACTCTTGTCCGCAACTGCGGGGTGCTGTATCTGGTCCGGTACACAAAGCAAGAGATTCGTGGACCATTCAGAGGCCTCCTGGATGCGGTGGGAGTAGATGGGGTCGGGGGATCACGCCGCATCGCTGATACATCGGCGATGCATCGGCGATGCACCGGCAATAGATTGTCGACGTTGGCGATGCATCGGCGCCGTCGACGTGAAGGAAAGTCGGGCTGCACATCAAGTGTTGCATCGGCGATGCGGCACGATCCTCCGACCCCATCCACTTGACCGCATCTAGGAAGCGTGAATAAATTGACCCGAATCGCATCGACTCGGAATCGCGGCCCCGGCCGGCGAACCGATCCGCATCGAATGGAATCAGCCGGCGAATCAAGCCACATCGTCCCAAAGCACTGGCCTCTGGAGGGAGCAGATTCCTCAGCGACGGGTGCAGGACGCCCTCGCAGTAGATCGTGGTGTTGCGGCCTAGGCGCTCGCAGCAAGGGGAGGGGGGCCACGGCGAGAGCGAGCTCCCAAATCGACGACCACCACAGGAGAGAACCCGGAAGACACGAAACCACAGGAGCGCGAGAGCCTACAGAAGGAGCTCGACCACAAGTAACCTTCAAACATAAACCCAACCCTGAGGCCCGAGGACGTGAATGTTTGGTGGGAACGTCACGCTTTCAACAGCAAAACCATCGAAACCCAGGACACCCAAGGCACCCTGGAGGCAAGCCGGGTGTTTCTTGGCATGGGTTTCCACCGTACGGGTCAACATGACGCCCGGTCAGAGGAACGGGAACTCGACCCGCATCCGCGAGGCACCAGTCTTGCCCGCGTCGCCTGACTTCGGTGCGGCCACCAGATGGTAAGACATAAAAGTACCCCAACCCGTTGGAAGAGGATCCAAATTGGGAGGGCTCCAAAAAACATAATGGATATAAGAGATCTTTTCTGCAACCGTACCAGGCCAATCCGCCCATATTCATGACCCCTAAATGTATAAGAATAAAGTCACCAGAGTGAGGCCACGCCTTCATCGTGAGGGTTAGGGTTAGGGCCTCTTTTGCAATCGATGGCCAGAGGCCTTTGGGATGGTGAACGTGTTCTTATTCGGCGTTTCGACATTGGGCGGAGGGGGGGGGGTCTGGCTCTGGACCTCTGCTTAACGCGACTGTTTGCAACAGTGCGTCCTAGGGGGGAGAGACTCCACCTGCTTGAAGCAGGCGCCCCAAACCGTCAAAATCTGCTCCATGGGGGAGGAGGGGGGGGGGTGCGAGGGCCCGCGCCGATCGGCAAAACAGTGCAGGAAACACAGGAACAGGAACAGGCCGAGGCACAACATCCGATTCGAGTGACGGCTGGCAGGCAGGAGAAGGCACGGGCTGGATTCCCAACGCAGTGTGGGGTCGGAGGAGATGTGGTCGGAGGCCCTCGCGTCACCGCCGATGCATCGGCGATGCATCGGCCCGCAGGCTCTGGCGCCCTCGCGCCGCCCCTGCCGGAGAGCCGCCTGCCCCGGCCCGGGCCGCGAAACAAGCGCGGTGGCCTGAGACCCACTGCCTGCAGTGGCCCAAGCCGCGGCCACACGGAGCGCCCCCCATGCATCCTCCTCCCTCCCCCCTCCTCCCTCCTCC